CGGAGAGGCGAGCCCAGGCTCCGATGGACCCGATATATGAGGAGGAGGTCGGGGCTCCACCAGAGTCTCCACCAAGGCCACGAAGCCCACCTCGGCGTCGGAGGGCTCCGAGACAGGATCCCAGGACCCGACGCTGCAGACGGCCCTAGAAGGTCTCAGCGGAGACGGCGACGACCGTTTTGGCAAAAAGAATATGCACTGTGAAATATAAAAGATAACAAATAAAAAATGGTGGTGAAAGAATACTTATTAGTAGACTCGAGTATAAATAACTGCAATGGTACCTTACAAAACACATCTCCCACACTACACACCAAACAAAAACAACGGTCCGAAACAAAGGGGCTGGAGGGGGAAGATGTTCGTGGCAGCAGGTGTGCCACCTTCAGCGGGAGGTTGGTCACACTTCTCGCCACTCTCTGGACTGTGTGGTGGGGGTACTCGTTCACCTGTATGATACGATGCTTGACTAAAGTACAGTTCTGCTTAACCCTTAGTTGTGTTTTCACCTGACTTTCCTTACTACGACACGAACAGTTTTAACATTAGAATTCATTATTATGGCCTTGAAAGCAGCCGATACACTTGGACATTGTATTACATTATCATTTGTTGCCGAATTTAGCCTAAAATGTTGGGTTTTTGAGTGAAATACATACTGTAGGTGGTGGTAGTGGTGCTGCTGCTGCTCTTCTTGTTGAAGATCTCTAATCACTCTTTTCTTTCTCATTTCTTTGTTTTAGCATTTGAATTCAATATTATGGGTTAAAAAGGAGGGTATGGACTTGGACATTGTATAGAAATAAGATGTGATGGGGATTTTAACCCCATTACCTGACTTTTATGGTCATAAGTGTGCCTGTTTGCCGTCGATTTTTGTTTTGTTTACGTTTCCATTCGGGACCATCCTATGTATTTGGTATTTCATTTGCTCTTGGCTCTTGGATTCATTATCATGGTCTTAAAGGAAACTCATACACTTGGATAAGGAATGGAAATAACATTTTATGTGAATTTAAGCCTAAAAAGTTGACTTTTATAGTGATTTACCTGATGGTTAAAGTGATTATGTTATGATAACATTAAAAACCACTATTTGCTTTGGATTTCAGTTCATCTCATTTATTTTATGGTGTCTCTACTTCTTGAGACCACTATTTGCTTAGGATTTCAATTTATCTCAGTTACATCTCAGCTATACTCAGTTATACTTGTTGAGATAGGTTCACACCTCTGGAAATGTGATTGTCAAACTTTTCCGAGACTGGATAGCGCTCAATTTCTGATAATGGCTTAGTGATATTTTATTCGCATGAGCTTAATTTTATTATGCCAAAAGTAGTGCATGGACTTGGAGATGATAAAGAAAAACCGTTTGCATTGGGTTTCAACTTGTTTATTCTTGCTTTTTAGGTATATAGTCTGTTTGCCTCGACCACTCTATGTGGTCAAAGATTTTTCGGTTCTAATTGCGGATCAAGTTTGGATTTTGAAACAACAACTCAGAAGTACTATTCATATTGATATTCAAAATAAACGTGATTGGTTTTGGTCAAAACACATTCACTTTTAATTTTTATTTGTTTTAAGGCTTTTATTTGTTTTTATTTGATTTTCACATTGATTTTATTCGATTTGCACATTGTTTTTACTGTTTAATCATAGAGATGAGTGTCGCTTTGAGATAATCCGTTTGGTAACACATCATTTCTTGTTTGAGAGACTCTGGGAATAAAATAGATGTTACGTCAAATGCTTTTGAAAAGCAAATCAAACCATTCTTCTTCATTGAGGTCTGGTATTTTAGCAAAGTTTCCGCCCCCATTGTTAAAAATAGTTGTAAATTTACGACAGTTTTTGGTGCGACAAGATTGTTAAATTACAATTCAAGTTGTTTTTTTAAAAAACGATGAATATGTTGTTGAAATCTAAACGATTGGGATGTTGTATTATTACTAGGTAGATGTACGCCAGACCACGTCTCGCGTAACAGGCTTCGCGATATCTCACGAAACACTGTTACGCTGCGACGCGCCTGGCATACATCTACCTAG